AAGAGTATGGGCCCTGCACAGAACCTGTGACTCTTCTAATATAGAAGAATTTTCTTCTTACAGGGATTGTTTAATTCATTATTATATAGGGAAACCTTGGAGAAGTAAAATTCACCACAACAAACTCCTTTTCATGGTTGCCAAGTTCATATTTTAGAAATTAAAAAGACAAAATAGATAGCAGTCTAGGTTATAAGCAGAAATAAAATATCCCAGACACCAAGATAAGTGGAAGAAATTAACTAGACTCTAAAAAGACATTTATTAAGCAGTTGTTTGGTTAAAGACGCACAAAGAAAGGAAAACCCAGTGCCTAAAACTGTAAGATTGGTACTGAGAGCTACAGCAAACATTAACATTCCTTAAAAAGCCCCTTAAAATAAAAGAACCACAAACCAAAATATCAGTTACATCAATGACACAGTGTACTACACTAATCAAACAAGTAGTCAATTCTGTTCAGAACTAGAATACAGCAGGTATTAGTGAAGTAGAAGCTGGTGCTGTTCGGATATATTTATTTAAGCATGTCTCTTATCTTCAGTGCTAAAAGCAAAATAATAATAAATAAGTATTTTGTTGTTATTTGAGATGCTTAAATCAATGTAAATTTTACTATTCTTCCAAAGTAAATTCTGTGGGACTAGGAAACAGGGCAACAGTATTCTGAATAGAATATTTAAAAGTATATTGGGGGAACTTTCTAAACATTTACATGAGGCATGCTTTTTGAGGAGTTTAATGTCTTGCCAGAGTTGGGGATAATTAGTAATCACTGAGCGAAGGGATCATACCAAGTCATAGCATAAAACATTGGCTGGAATTTCAGTAAATATCTAGGCAGAGAAGGGTGTAGGCATAGCAGTTTGTTTTTTTTTAAATAAGGATGATAATAATTCTCTATCAAAATAGCTGCCACTGGCACCCTTCTTGTGATTTAATTCAAAAGGAAAAATACAAAAACCAGCCTCATCTAACTTTCTGCTCACTTACTTTTTGAACTGAGAGGGTGGCTGAGCATGAACACCACTGAATTCACTAGTGAATAAATATGTGACATGGGCTTGCTAGTGTTTGCCACCAGCACAACACTTTCTGTTGATTTTCACCAGCAGTTTATTTTCTGAGATTAAAAAAAATTTTGTTAACATCAGTCTCTAATCACCTACATAAGTTATAATTACATGATAACACTATAATTTAAATCACAAAGCATTAATAGGAGAATCATTAGCTAATGAGTTATGAATAACTTTCTTTTTAAATGACATTATTTACATTAGATACTGCCTTTCTGAAAGCAGAAAGCTCTATTCTATTTCCCATAGCCACTGTGACACGAAGTTATGGTATATTTAAGTATACAGGTCACATTTTAAAGATGTACATGCTGTTTTAAAAGATAAGAAAGTGTCTTAGGCACCAATCTTAGGCAAAAAATCTCACAGTTTGTGTTTTGCAATGTTAAATTCAAGTACATGGATGAATGAAACAGCAAAAAATTATAGCTAAAATTGTCAATGTAGAATAATTGCATATTGAAATGATTTCAGGGTCTTAATGAAAACTAAGAATTTTCAAATCAAACCTTATCAAAACAACCTTCATTGCAGTAAAAAATTGACTAAAAAATTATTTCCCAGGTCTGGTCAGTCTCTGAAGGTGTTCCTAAAGCACGTTGCCACAAAACTTTCAATTTCAAAATTTTGGTAATGAATATTTTCTTTAAAGCTATTATTTAAAAGTTCTCACTGATATAGCAGTTGCTTCCTATTAAAAAAAATTATTCAACCCTTGATTTTGTGAAACCTCATTGCTGGGTGACCAGAAAAGTAGAAACACAGTGAGATTAAATGCAATTGGTTCCTTTACTTTCCTTACATGAAGAATTCTGTGCGTATAATTACCATGAATAGACATACTAACTCCATCTAGAAGTCTGATGGCTCTCCATAGGAACCGCCCAACGATAAAACAATACAAGGAGATGAACATCCTGTGGGAGACCCTAGGGATGGGAGGTACAATTTCCTCCAGTGTCAACTGAAGATACCAATTACATAACTTAATGTTATTTGTTAGTTACCTACTTCAATATCCCCACACATGTGTTGATGAACTCATTAAGCATCCATTCCTTGGTTTATTAATCTAGAGACTTTAGAATATGCCAAGCACATACTAAATGTTTGTGAAATGGACTTTTAAAAGCAGCTTTCCTCAGTATAAGCTCCTCTTTTCCCTGAGTCTTAAACTGTTTTTTTTTTTTTTTGTATATGAGCATACAAAGAAGTTGTAAATAGTACAAAAGCAATGATACAAGAAGACAAATGAAAGATCAATACTTTCTCTAAAAATATTCTTAGTTCCCAGATTGACACCAGAGAAGGATGATGGTGGTCCTGGCTATGGAAACAATCCTCTGTGAGTTAGTCTAATACTACAAACCTGAACCCACAAGAAAGGAGGACCTTTCAAAAGGAAAGCGACCAACTAAAAATTAGTTTTGTTTTTCTCCAACAACAATCAACTGTGTGATAGATTTCAACCAATTTTGCTTGTTTTCTTGGAATTAGGATGTATTTTGTAGAATAAAACTCTTAATGTCTCAGGAAGTTGAAACTTCACTTCTTTGGGAACAGTGAAGCAATCACTTCTTTGGCATTACTGGATCATATTAAGGACAATAATAATGAATGACCTAGTTATTATCCCATGAGCTTGAATGGATTGGTATATTTTAAAAAAATTATTGATTCATTTCTAAGACTAAAATGAATAGTAAATTTTCTGAAGTTCTGTATTTAAATTGATAGTGAAATTACAGTGTCAGGAAGGATTTCAGAAATACTTCTGTATAGAAATCATTCTAATTATGTTCATGTTCACATTTTACTGAAATAGTCAATCAATTATCTTGGCATAATAATTTTTACTTTTGGTGGAGACAATCATGGTGGTAATTGCCCTAACTGTTCCCAATTAGTTCCACACACACACACACACACACACACACACACACACACACATAACGATTTATTTACTCATGCAGACAGAACTAGGGAACATGCCAGAGTTGCAGGGGCAGTGAGGCTTCACCAGAGGCAGAGTGAGGAGCAGAATAGGCAGATCAACGAAATACACTACTGAGGAGAGGTCTGCTGTGCCATGTGGATCACCTCCTGATCGAACTTACACTGAAGCAGCTGTGGCTTGCTTGCAGCGCTGCATCCTAACCTGTTGTGCCACCAGGGAGGGCAAGCTCCATATTTGAACAAATAACTTCAGGTAGGAATTACTTATATGACCCAGTATTGCACAGGACTATGAAGAAATAAATCACTTTGGGGAGCAATTTATTTAATATGCAAAGAGTTGACTATACAATATACCTGAAAACTTTAGATTTATAAACAAAATGTATACACTATTAGATATAATGTCTAATAATTCATAATTATGACTAAGAAGGAGATTAGAAATCAATAAAAGTAAGCACATCTATTAGATAAGCAGTAAGAACTAAGTAGCAAAACTAATGTGGAAAAGAATGTGACATAGTTACTTTTAAATAAATGGTGGTAAGTGTTTTAGAAGTTTGAAACAATAATAAGTGATAAAATTTAAGGGATATTGAAGTTTTCATCATTTGGAAAAGATTCTAGGTTAAATAAGTTCTATGTTAAATAATAACAGTGTTATTATAAATTATTCCGTTATTCACAAATCAAAACCTTTGATTATCTTAAATATCCTTGTTAAGCCAAATAAAGTACTGGTGATTCTCGATAATTTTGAGTTTCATTTTGTGCATATTAATGCATATAGTTCAACCTAATTTACAAATACATCTTAAATTTTACACCCATTTTCTTCCAAGCATGAAGAATGGGGCATTTAGGTGTGGTTTATTTCAGGGGATGAATACTTACTTTTAAATATTTTATAAGATTAACAATATTTTTACATACATTCTAGGCCTGCATTGTCTATCCAAAGTTAGCCACATTTGCCTGTTAAACACTTTAATGTGAGTATGGCAACTTGAAGAACTGCTATTTTTATTTTAATCAATTTCAAAATTTAAGAATTAAAGTAGCCTTGGGCCCTCCCTGGTGGCTCAACATGTTAAAGTGCAGCATTGTGAAGCTATTGGCAGCCATGACACACGTTCAATTCTGGGCCACAGAGGTGACACACATGGCATGTCAGACCTCTCCTGGCCTGTCCACTGTTCCTCTCGGCAATATATTTCACTAGCTCTGCCTATTCTGCTCCCCCCGCACCTCTGGCCTATCCCCCAGTTTTTTTAAAGAAAAAAAGGGGGAAAAAAGATTTAAAGCAGGTTTAGTTATTGTAAATATTTCATAAGCATAGATTTATAAACCTACTTTTCCACCTACAAATTTTAAAAACCTAAAATATTACTGATGCAAATTTAATGTCCAAATTAAGGTAGGCTGTAAATATAAAAGACATGTCAGATTCAAAGACACTGTAAGAAAATAATGAAAAGTTCTCATTTATAATTTTTATAAAGATTGCTTAAGTAATTTGCATTATATTTTTTGTAGGCAGCATTAATTGGGGGCCTTTATGAAAATTGCTAGTTTTTAAAAGACATGCTTTAAATTTTTTATTTTAATATCATCCTTTTAATCAAATTTTTCTATCATGATGTAAATTGGATGTAGAATTTACCAAGCACGTAGTATCCTAACTGCCCTCTCTGCATGTCCTCCTTTTTCAGACTTGCAAAGTCCTGACTAGCACCACCAGCAGAATCAGAATGCAAAATCATAGGCAATGAATATGCAGAAATAGTGTATGAGAGCACTGATGAGTGTGCAATCAAATCAAACTGCTCACACACAACAAATTCTATCCCATTCTTTCCCTCCAATTGTTTCCAGATCTATGTATCCCTAATTCCAAAATTAACCTTCAACTTTCTCCCAAGTTCTGCTGTGCTATGGCTTCTGGTTTAGAATAATAAGCAATGACTTTGCTCAGCGATGTGCTTGGTCATGTGTTAATACTAGATTCTGTCCAGGCCCGGGAACTTTCATCCTTCAGAGTGGAGAGCTTCCTTTGGGAGAAGGATTCAAATCCCATAAGCTTGAATACTGCTACCCGGTATTTCTTAGACATGATGTTGTACAGAATGGGGTTGATGGCAGCACTGAGGTAGAACAGGACAAAGGACACAAGGTTGCAGTATTGGCTGATCTGAGCGATCTCCAGGGATCCGGGTTCGAAGGATTTGGAAAACAGATACCTTCCTACATGGAAGGGCAGCCAGCAGAGGATGAAAGCAAACACCACTACAGCTGAAAGAACAATGGGAGAGAGGATGTCAGTTCCAGGAATGGCATAACAAATCACATTCTATTTTGAAGACATAGTCTTGTTTTGATTATGTATGGTATGACCACTGACTTCCAAAAATTCTTAGTTTCTATTCCTGCATAATCTGTTATTAAAAAAAAAAAAAAACTAAGTCTGCCTGGATCAATGTTTCAGCAATTTGTACTGAGCTTTCCAGTAATTTCTATTTTATAACTATTTGAACGATTTTTGTGGTTAGGAGGGCATATTTACTCAACTGACCAGACAGGTTATCAAAATAGACCATCTTATATATGGTTAGAAACAGCTAAACATAAATGAGAGAAAGTGGTCATTCTCGACTATACACTGAATTCTGTGAGGCATGGATTCTGAGGATATAATATAAACTCATCAAATTAAAAAACCTCAAGGAAGAGAACCTGAACACTGTTTTGCTTTGCTTTTCACACAGAGGGCTGAGGGCAGGATTAAGAACTACTAGAATAGATGATACTTTGTTACTGACAGTAGACAAAGGTAAGTTATAAAAGTTCATAAAACCAACTAGTTTTAATTATCATCCATCTAAGTCTTCATTGAGCCCATGCAAATAATTTTTGTAAGGCCTTGGAATTTCTAGCATAAGTTTTTAAAAATCAGAAACCAGAGGCTGAAGAACAGAAAATAATCCTTGACCACTTCATTTTTTCCCTGACAAAAGAAAATTAGAATTTGACAAAAGGTAACAGAAACATCAGTGAGGAAAATTAACTGTTTAAAAATAGCATTGAAGGAAATGCTTACACTTATTACACTTATTCTTAAAAGTAAGCTGCCCAGTAACAAGTGACTACATTAGTGATATGAATATTAATTAGAGTCCCCAGGAGGCCACAAGCAGGTTTACAATCTGTTAATCATGTGAGAATCACTGGTCTAGAAAATGAAAATTTCCGGCATTCTTTGAATAAACTGCTACAGGATACCAAGAATTATAAAATTACAAATACACAAATTATTCTGGAGTGGTTTCTAAGAAGCATTAAGTATGCAAATAAGTACAAAATATTAACCAAAATGTCCAGATGAAAAAAAACAAGGTATAGATTGTGATTGTTTAAAGTACACAGAATTAATATTTTGTTTGGTTGAGAACACATTTTGAATCATTCCACTTTTGCCAATTACACAGCTTAAAGAAGCTGAATCCATTCAATAAATACTCGGTATGATCCATTCCTGACACTGTACCCAGGTCTCTGAGGGCCCTTTGGGGAAAGGGACAGTAAGTCCTGCTAGCTTCTACCAAGGCTGTCAATGCAGTTTATTGCAGGTTATCCTTTCCTGCCCTGTCCTACCACACCCCACCCCACCCCATCCTAACCTACCCTACTTATACTTTCAGGAGTCAGGCAACCATGAAAACAGACTTTAGCACTTATTTGTCACTGGCTTCCTTACAAAACTGTACAAACAGTAGTGTAAGGATTATTGATGAGATGATTTGAAAAAAAATAATGCAAGACCACAATATTGAAAGGAATCACCCCTCAAATAATTATCACATGTAAGTTTGCTTAAATTTACCATTGACTTAAAAGAGATTTTTTATGAAATATCTCAGTTTTGAAGAAAAGTTTCCGGGCAGATGTAAAGTTCATTTTAGGCAAGTAAAAGGTGAGGCATCTTCCCATGAAAGAGAAAATGAAGCGATCATAAGAGACATGGAGAGACCAAAATAAAATAAGGGTAGTGGCGAAATGGGACAAGACATAAAGAAAGGAAGGCGGTAGGGAGGAGGGAGAAAGAGAGTTGGCAAGCAAAAAAGTTTAACAACAACAAAATAAGGGAAACACAACAGAGATAACAAGAGACCAACAAGAGAGCTTAAGACTGAAAAAGTAAGAATAATTGAGAGACATACAATGAAGCAGAAACAGAAAAACAGGACAAAGAGGTGTGGGAATTCAGGGAGAAGGGGAAAGGCAGAGAGAGAGAGAGAGACTGAGAGCGCACAGAAAACCCACCTAGCATTTTCACCGTTTGCTTGTGATTCTGGTCCCGAAGCGAGGTGCCCACAGCCGCCTCGCCGCGCCTCCTCCTCCACAGCTTCCTGCTGATGAGGCTGTAGAGCACAGTGAGGCAGAAAACAGGCAGGAAGAAGAAAACGCTGGACACCCAGACCATGACCGTAAGGAGTCCCGAGCGCACGGCGAATTCTGTGGCGCGGCACTCGTTGGTGTCCCGAGGGTCGGTGCCGTTCTCGTGCTCCACCCCGACCAGCACGAAAATGGGTCCCGCGCTGCAAAAGGCCACTGCCCAGATGACCAGGATGACCAGCTTCACCCGGCCTTTGGTGACGACTACCTTGGCGCGTAGCGGAAAGCAGATGGCAAAGTAGCGCTCGACGCTCAGCGCAGTGATTGTGAGCACAGTGGCGTAGGTGCAGCTCTCGCTAACAAACTGGAAGAGTTTGCAGAGCAGGTCGCCGAAGTTCCAGGGCCGGTACTGCCAGAGGCGGACGAGATCTAGGGGCATGCAGAGGAAGATGAGTAGGTCGGAGAAGGCCATGCTGGATAGGTAGAGGTTGGTGGTGGTGCGCAGTTCGCGGAAGCGCGACACCACTAGCATCGTGAGCAGGTTGCCGGCGATGCCCACCACGAAGAGCGCCACACAGGTGGCGGTGACGCCGGCCAGCAGCGGCGCGGGGAAGAGCGGCAGCAGCTCCTCCGAGAGCGAGTCGTTCTCTGGGGAAGCGTCCCAACCCAGACCCGGCAGTGTAAGGTTGGGGCCAGGCTCTTCGCTCGGCGTCGCATTCCACATGTTGCCGGCTCTGCTTAACCAATTGTGAGATGCGACTGCACTGAAAGGTTGATCTCGGCTGGTCTGGGAGAAGGTTCTTTTTGGCGCGAGAGAGGAAGAGGACGCGAGTGCAGGGAGGATGCTAGGAGAGGGAAGAGGGAAGCGAGAGGCAGAAACCGAGGGTGAAGGTGAGATTGAGAGCCTGGGGTGGGCGGAAGGAAAGGGAGGAGAGGAGAGGGAAGAATGGAGACATACACACACACACTGGTGGTGAGGACAGAGAGTGACCCATTGCTCTTTTTAGCACCTCCCCTTTCCGCCACCCTCTTTAGTTATGTCCTTTTCCCTAACCCAGTCTCTGGCCGACCCCGCCCCCCTCCCGCCCCTACAACTAACTACCTGTCGCCGGCTGCCTCCACCTACCTACTTAGTCCTCGCGTTCAGCTCTAGTAGCACCTAGCAGTTTCCGAAGCGTCTTGACGTGTTGGGTCTATAGAAACTGGCACTGCGAAGCGTGACAGCTAGGAGCTCTCTCCTCGGTCTCTTTGGGACTGACTTGCATGGCCCAGAAGGGCAGGTCACACCGGGAATGGTGGCAGGCGTGGTGGGAGGGGCAGGAAGAATGCCCTCAGCTGCGTGGGCCTACGTGTTTCTTCCACAAGGGGTAGAGCTCACTCTACACTTAGACACGCGTGACCACTTGTCCGTGGTCACACAGAGAGCTGGGAGCTCAAGTTCTTAGCTTGAATCTCCCAATTAGTTTGTACTTCTGAGCGTGAAAGTACAAGATGTGTGAATAAAATCTGTTTGAATGCCAGCCCTTTTAAATTCTTCAACTAGGTGAGGAAAGCTCTGTGACAGATTGTTTTTGCCTGATACAAACCTTGGGGGAGGTGAGAGGCAAAAGGACATGAGAATGAGTTGGAGAAGGGTGGATACAGCAAGGAGGATGAACAGAAGTTAAAGCAGGAGGCTCAGAGTGTGTAATAAGCATTTTTGAGAAACAGGACAGAAAGATTAGTCACTGGAATAGTTGTGTTCACTTGAGCAAGGTCACCAACCTTTTTATTTTAAATTGCGAGGATGTTATGATCACTGGAGTGGATATCAAATGTCGGGCAGAGTTGACGCTCAATAAATAAATGAGGGCAGCTTTGCTCTTATTGTGTGGCTGATGAGGGCAAGAGCTGCTGCGCCCGGTAGAAATGGATGGGAAGCCGCCCCTGCGCTGAAGAGGTGGCTCCCCTGGACTGGACTTGCAGGGTGTGCAGCCAGGGGTCAGGAATCCTCCATGACCCGAGAGTAGCTGCTATCTGTAAACTGACCCACCTTCTAACCAGCCAACCTGGTGAACGCCCGGCTAGTGTTCAGCACCGCGGCCAGCTCCCGGCCCCTCCCACAGCTCACCACAGATCTCAGGATTTTCTGCCTTGTGGCCCTTTTCTCACTCTTGTGCCTTAGTCCCTCGCGCATAAATTCTTTGCCTGACCGACTGGTATTCAGCGTTTACGTGACCACTTCTATTAGCCCCCGTCTATTAGGTCCTAAAACAAATGAGTATCCATTCGCGTGTGTGTGTGAGAGAGAGAGAAAGGAAGAGGGAGGGACGAAGCGAGGGAGGAAGGAGCCTCTAGCCCCTCCACCCACGCATTTCGCATTTTAGTGCATTTGTGCCTGCCTTTGACAAATGGTTTGTTTACATCATCTCTACTGTCTAAATTGTTAATGCTTAAAAGTCCACAAGACTTAGGTCTAAGTGTATTCAAACATGCATGAAAGATTCCACACCATGCATGAAAGATTCCACACACAGTGAGACTGCATTAAAAAAAAATTTTTTTTTGATACAACCAACCTACAGTAGGTAACCTCTGGTATTTTGTAGATGTCAGACTAAAATTATTTAATTTATTTTTCTCAATCCAGTTTAAAAAATGACAGGTAACATGAATTACCATATTTTAAAATTAATTATTTGACATTAACAATTCCCACCTTACAATGTCAGTGGACTTGTCTAGATAGACTTTTACGGGGAGAAAACATATTGGGATAAGTAAAATACTCTATAAAGTTATTGTTTAATAATAAGAACCAGTAAAAGATTGTGAAATTTATTTTTAGTCAAATCAGTGCTAAAGAAATGGCAGAAAAATGGAAAAATCTTTTTAAAAAATCTATACAAATATGGCATGTTTATTAAAACATAGTCAGATATTTAACTGCATTCAAGAATTTTTGAAATTATAAATATATCTGTATCATGTGATGAAGAAATGGGCATTGAAAGAGCCCATTCACAATATATATTATATCATAAGTATAATAGAAACTAACTGTAAATAATAACAAAATAAATAAGACCCAAACAAGTCCTATATTTATAGACTTAGATTCTAGAGAGGAAAGTGTAATTAACACTTCCAGTATAGTTTGATAAGTGCATTTAAAGAGGCATGTAGAGTGAGTTCTTTTAAAATATGAAGAAACAAAGACCTGCAGACATTTTAGGGAAGGCTTCTCTGAGAAAGTAGCGTCTGAGCAGCAATTTGAAAGTTGAATGCTGCCAAGTGGTGCATACCTGCTCAGTTGTTCAGAAAAGGGACACAAGAACACACCGGAGGGCAAGAGCCCAGTGTGGCTTATCCTGTGAGTTATGAATCCATGAATTTTTAAAATATTGGCAATGGTTACTAGTCAGTTATGGTTACTTTTTGATGTTCAAGTTATTCTCTTTTTGGTCAATAGGATCACTTTCAAGTTGACTTATATAGCCTTGTGAACATGATAGACTTAGACGCTGAGAACTTTCCCTGCTTTGTGAAGAATAAGATTCTCCTAACTCATTTTACAAATTTCCTGCTCTAGAGCTGAGAACAGCCATTTCTTGTAAAATTTCTGGTAACTTCTAATGGGTAAAGCCTTTAAGAGAACTGAATTTGGACAGAAGGAGGTAGTTATTGCCCCTGGAGCATAATGAACTAGGCCCTTTCTGGGAAAGAGATAGAATATATAATATTCCCTAAAAATCATGACATCTTGATGATATAGTAGATTAATCAGATGCACCCTAAGCAAAGTTACCAGAATTAACATCACCAATGTGATATCCTGAAGGACATAATGATATGTTTAATATAGTAATTCAGGGAGTAATTGCAGAACATCAATCTAACCATAAGGAAAAAATCAGACAAATTCAAAATAAATAATACTCAATTAAAAATTTTTCTCCAAAAAAAAACCTGTCAATGTTATATAAGAAAGACTGAAAAATGTTCCAGAATAAAGGACACCAAAGGAACATAAAAGCTAAATGCAACTGCTGGTTCTAAACTGGATTCTATATTAAAGGGAAGAAATTGTTATAAAGATATTATTGGGTCAATTGACAGATTTAAAATATGAATTATAGATTAATGTATTGGCTCAATATTATATTTATTGACCTTAACTTCTGTACGAAAGAATATTCATACTTTATAAATACAGATCCATGATTTAGACAACTATTTCAGAAAAATAAATGTGTGTGTGTATAAACACAACTAATGGTAACACAAGTGAGGCAAAATGTTAATGGATGAATCTTGGAAAAGGATAAAATGACTTTGTATTATTCTTTCAATATTTAAATTTGAGATCATTCCCATATAAAAAGTTAAGGAGCTGGGCCTTCCTGGTGGCTCATAGGATAAAGTTTCAGCACTATCAAACTATGGCCAGTCACTGCAGCGTAAGTTCTTTCAGATCCCAGCCAGGAGTCTGACCCACAAGACAGCAGACCCTTTGTCTCACCTGTTGCTTCCCTCAGCAGTGTATTTCAGTAGATCTCCCTGTTCAGCACCCCACTTTCTCTCTGGTGAATCCTTTCAGATCCCCCCCCCACCTCTGGCCTATACCCCAGTTCTTGTATGAATGAATGAATGAATGAATAAATAAATAGATCTTTAAAAAAATAAAAAGTTAACATGCTAAAAGTTCATACAGATATTTTCAATTTAACTTCCATTATCGACTTAATCAATTACATTTATATTTACACCAAACATCTTGGTTTCTAGCAACACAAATAGGTTTGTGTTTAATAACACCAGCATTACAACTATAGTAAATTTGATAAGTGAATGGGATTTTCTTTATCTTTAAAATTCATATCACTAGGTTTGTAAATGACCTTAATTATTTTCTTTATGTGGTTATGATTCCAATTTGATATATGGTTAGGTTCATTTGCTTCAGTTCCTTTCAAATGTAGGAATTATCTTTAAATTTGAATTTTTATATTTGATAATATGTCATATATATAGCTTAACAGTCAAAACATTAAATCAAAACATGATTTTAAATTTAAAAGTTTAAACCAAACAATATTCAGGAAAATGTTAATCTTTTTTTCATATTTTCCAATAGACACCATTAAAAAAAGGTTTGCCTGCCCAGTATGTGTATATATGTGTATATTTGCCAAATTGTGTCCCACATAGAGGTAATATACTATACACAGCTTGATTTTTTTAAACTTAATGTTGTACCCTGGAATTCTCTAATATAATTTTTAAAAAATTATTTATGCATACAAAACTGGGGTACAGGCCAGAGGGTGGTGAGAGGATTCACCAGAGACAGAACAGGGAGCAGAACAGGCCAACTGATGAAGTACACTGCTAAAGGGAGCAGCAGGTGGGTCAGGAGAGGTCGGGGGCACCATGTGGATCACCTCTGGCGCAGGGACTGAACTCATGCTGAAGTGGCTTTAGCTTCTTAATGCTGTGCTTTAACCTGCTGCACCACCAGGGAGGGCCCAATATCAATTTTTTAAAAATATTTTTATAATACTCTGTTTTTTGAGAAAATTACAGTTTTCCATCAAGGAGATTTACCTTAGTTTCATTTAATAAAATTTTCATTGATGAATAGTTATTTCTATTTTTTAAATTTAAAGTTATAAGTTAATGCCATTGAAGGAATGGAGGAAGTAATGCAGGCCTGAGCAAAACTAGCCCAGGCAAGCAGCACCCACCACCACCACCCCCTCCTAGAATGCAGGATAGGTTG